CGCTGCAGATCCACAGCTCCACTTATCTCCGTTCTGCTGTTAATAAACATTTTGATCTTTCCCACTATGTCTCACCTCAAATTCTGGGTCCTACTTTCTGGTTTCTGTACAGACGGCCTATTTTCTCAGGTTGGTTCGACCGCCAAAGTGACAAAGTTAACATGAAATAGAAACAGGTCCAAATGTGAATTAGAGAGAATCTACCGTAGAGTAGAAAGCAAGAGAGTAGAGAAAGAGGATAACCTCATGGTTGTAATTGGGTAACTTGACTCCGCCAGAAGGATTTACTCCGCATATCCATCTGGAAACCGTCCGTAGAAGTAATTTTGGGAAGGTGCGAAAATACTGGTTAGCTGATTGGCCTATGTTGGTGATAGAAGGGCCAAATAAACCAATCAGATCAACGAAGCATACGACGTACTAACAGAGCGACGACGAAGAGGAGCCAATTGATATATCAAACTCTTGCCGAAACCAGTCGGGAGAAGAGCAAAAACATCTTTTCCTCTGAGAAAAGCCTCCAGAGCAGTGTTTTGCTCTTCTTTCAGTGAATAAATACAGTGTTATTCCGATAAAACTTGCTCGATAGCCAGTTTCATCGGCTGAAGCCGCCATGTTCTTTAGACTGAACTATCGCGCTTCTCGTTGCGTCACACCTCAACCCGCCTCAAAGCCAACGCTGATTGGACGTTCGTTTAGTGAACGGTGTCGTCTATAATTCTGTTCTTGACGACTTAAAATTGAAGCTAAGTTTTATAAAAATTCAAAGTTCTTAAAAAGCAGAAAAAGTCTCAAACAAAGATCAAAAAATTTAGGCAGAGGCAGCTGAGTCCGGGTCCAGTGTGTTTATTGCTAAACACAACACATTCACACTGAGCTGGTCACCGGTGAGCCGAAGCTGAACAAATGGTGAACACAGCTCCCTTTTATACATTTCTTATCGGTGGAAAACCCCCTTCAGAACATATTTCAGTCTTTGGTAAAGGTCACATTGATATTTATCTGCAAAACACGGTGACATTCATAGACACATCTCATTCTTGTGAGAGCAATCTCTCAGGCCATGAAAACATCTGGTGCATTCAAATCAGAAACTTATGACGGTTTAGTCACAAACATGTCAGAACACATCTTTCCCTTGCTTCAAGCCATGTCAGTCTGGCCTACTGCTCCCCCCTCGTATCTTAGTCAAAGCATCACCCTTTCTGGGACCATTACCGCTCCGTGTGCCTTGAAAATAACAACTCTTTTTGTATGGCCAAATTTTGCTGAGCTGGGCAACCTTGAGATGTCAAATATTTCATTTTTATTGAGTGTGCTTTCTTATCACTAAGGGGCCTCAACCCTGCGTTGTCCTGCAGACTTCACTCCTATTGGGGCCAGGTGCAATAGTTACACATACTCACTGCTCTGCTTTTCTCCTCTCTGGCCTTGAATGGCTCCATTCATTGCTCTGTTTTTTTTTTCTTTTTCCTTTTTGGCCTTGAATTGCTCTTATAACAGTATTTGGGAAAACAACTTTAAACTTATAAAACATTAACTTTATTTTATCTAATGATTAGTGCAGATTAATACACAGCAACGGCTCCAAATTTTCTTCAACGGAGAGTCTCCAGACTGATTAGTGAGTGAAATCTTGAAAGCTCGCAAGATCAGGATGGTCTCATGAGGCTAGTAATTGGGGGCCTCATGGTATTGAATCCGCACTCATAAAACATTTGTAAAGCGCATGCAGAGTTGTTAACGTGAGTTTGTTTTAAAGAATAATTTTCATATCAACATTTATTACTGTTGTGCACCTCTGTCATTATTCTGACTTCATATATGAGCTGGATGAGAAAAGGAGCTCCTGAGATACAAGACTGATATTCCTCCTCACTTATGGTCCTTTCTGATACAGATTGGGGATGCAGGGAAAAAGTAGAAAGCTTTTTGTTTTGTTTTTTCAATGTATCTGTACAGAATCTATTATCATAGAAAGTGCCTGCAGTTAAGAGAGAAAAGAAGAAAAAGTCAGTAAATTACAACGTGTGGCCAGCACATAATGCCAAGCTGTGTCTTCAGCTGAACCTCTCCCCTTCTGACTTATACAACTTGCTTTCCTACACAGCAAATCATTTTCAGCAGATCCGAGACGTTTTGTAAGATCATTGGCCGCAATTTTTTAAAATGATTTGTCCAAGGATGATAAAGGTTTTAAACTGGCATTTTCTCCAACAAGGACTAAAATTTTCCTGTCATGTCACAAACCAAAACATCAGGAAAATAACACTTTCATGCTTTTGCTGTAATGTTTATTGCAATCTTTTTTGTTATTTCTTTTATAAACATGTCCTGTCTTACAGTGTAGCACTAGGAATTGTCGTCTTAGTGCCAAAGAGAAGCTCAGCAGATTAACTTCCTCTCATGATCCCAGTGTTAGTCTTCTATTTATAGGTTTTCTGCAGATTCTGTTTATGTTCAGGTGTTTTAATCTTATTGTTTCATCACTTGTGGTGATTTTAAAATTTCTTTAAAACATTTTATTTTTTTAAACTGCGTATTCCAGATCCCATTCTCTTTACTTTTGGGCGGGCTTTCCTTTGGAGTGAGGAGCAAAGACACATTTCTATGGGTGTACTGGAAGTTGAAAATAACATTTTTGTTGGTAAATGTGTGCATCAAGAGCAAGCATTTGTACTGGGATTCAAATGAAAATGAACTTTAAACGCAATATAATAAAGTAGGACTTTTTTTTTTTAAAGATTAAATAAAAAAAAATTAGAATAGAAAAGTTACTTCTAAAAACAACATCAAAAAAACAGAAGAAAAAAAAACATGCTCCTTGCTTGCAACAATATTAGAATTAAATTCACTCCATTCACTGCTTGATTTTTATTTTTATGCGACAAACTTTATTGGGCTTCATTTTGGGATTATTTCAAATGTAATAGACAAAGAACAGAAAAAGGGCAAAAAAAAAGGGACAAATGCGAGCAAATATGTTAAAAGATTAAGAAAGTAAATAAAAATGTGGAGAGAAATAAGAAAAGAAAACATCCTGGACGTCTGCTTCTATATCTGCAGAGAAAGGGTAAAAGAACAACAGCACAAACAGAAAATCAAGGAAATGAACGATGTGCTCAGTAGCAGCTGCAGCCAACTAAGGGAGTCATCTGATGTATAAACAGCTGAATCTAAAAACCTGTCAACCTATATCAGAGGTTTACCCAGCAAACTATCATTTTAAATGATAACTAAACTAAAATAACTTAGAAATCTATACAATTTAGATGGTTATTTTATTCTTTAATGAAGGGATGTAGAATATTTAAAAAACTAGATCATTTGTATGCTTCTCAGAAGAACACGCAGTCACTATTCTCTACGCTCATCTGATTTTAGTCCATCTGCAGGTTCCTCACGTTCAGACAGACTTTTAAAAGCCTGTTTTAGTCATTCTGCTCCTGCTCCCTTGAAAATGCTTCAAACTAAACTAAGATTGTCTGAACTTCCTATTTAAAGGAATAGTACACCCAAAACATGATTAGCCTTCATTTTCTACTCACCCCCATGCTGAACAACACTCTGGAGTACTTTTTTGATATCTCAAATGCATCTGGAGATCTGGGAGGCTTCTTGCTGTCTGCTGACATTCAAATAATGGAGGTCTATGGCGCCCGAGACAGAAAGGTCCATAAAAGTCCACAAAAAACATGTCAATATTCCTCCATACTGCTCGTCCAATGTTTTCCAAGTGTCCTGAGTGGGTAGCATCCAGAATTTACTCGAAACGAAGTCATTTAGCATGTTTTTAGAGCATAAACAGTAGTGTATAGGATTTCCTGAAAGCGCGCGCCTGCGCGTTCACTACGCTACGGAAGCCGGCAGACCAAACCAGATGAAAGTGCGCATTCAGCGTCTGTTCTGCCGATAATGCAAGCGTAGAAGAAGAAATGTGCTGTTTACCTGTGCAAAGAAAGAAACAATGAAAGAAAAATGTCTGAGGACTTCATTGTTGAGGAAGAGCATGAGTTCTTTGCCGAGCTGAATGCGCACTTTCGTCTGGTTTGGTCTGCCCCGGTTTCCGTAGACTCGTGAACGCGCATGCGCGCACTTTTAGGAAATCCTATACACTACTGTTTATGTGTACTATTCCTTTAATACTTTTAGTTCCTTTTTTTACAAAAGGCAAAACACATCCACGAAACAGTGCCAGTGACTAAAGATTTTGCAGGTAGGAAATAGCACCTTCTAAAAAAAAAAAAAAAAAAACATATTAACTATAATTTTCTTTAAGTAGCATTATTACATTACTTGTTATATGTCAGCATGTGTAAGTAATTAACTGGATTCTATGTGTAAACTGTTACTTCTTTCGGAAGCTTTGTGTCTCTGAGTTTAAAGGTAAACTGTCAATAAAAGCTTTTGTGTCTGAATTTGTAAATGTAAGTGAAGAAGCCGGAATAAAATAAGGAGTTCTTTCCCATCAAATCACATCAGATTATTATCTCCTGTCTGTCATGTTTACAATAAACATTTTGATGTGATCAGGTGTTCAATCCATTAATTTGATTTAAATACCAGATTGAGCTCCATCCATTGTGAGTAACTTCACTTAATGAAAACAAGCTTGTTTTAAACAAATAGTCCCCATTAAGATAAAAGGTTTTTTATTTTGTGTCTTCAAAGTTTATTGGTTAAATTTTGTTTTACAACATTTACCTGCAGACAAATAAATTTAACTACAGAAAAAAACAAATCCCATTGTTTCCTGATGTTTTCTACCAAATGGTTTCCCATACCTGCACCATATCAAATGTCAAAGAGTTTTAAAATATGGTCCCAGTCTTTTTTTTTTTTCAGCATCTGATTGCTTTGACTCTAGAACATCTTTCAAATTATTCTTCCATCCTCCAGTCTTGTTCATGTTTTAAATAACATGAAATTGCTTTCTGTTCCTGCCTTAATGCACTTCCTTAATTTACCTCTCCCTGCTCTCTCTTGTTTGTTCCTGACAGGAGGTGAAGTACTTTCAGTTTCCTGGTGAGCTGCTCATGAGAATGCTGAAGATGCTCATTTTACCACTCGTCGTCTCCAGGTACCTGCAGTTCCTTAAAACCCTGTAAATCCTGTTGACATTTGTACCAGGTACAACTCAGTGACCAGCAGGAGAATCAGAACAACATGAACTTTTCCACATTTTGTTTAATTTCAGCCACAAATCTCAGTATATTTCCTGGGATTTTATGTGATCAACTAAAACCACAAAGCACACACAGTAACGCACTTAGAAAACAATAGATTTCCAGATAAATGTCTGTGTTTGGCATGCAGCTGTATTCAACCCTAGACTTATTTTTTAGTCTAGGGTTGAATACATGTTTTCTGCTAATGCAGCTTTAAGTCAAGTGTGCATGTGTAAGACCTAAAGTTTAATTTTAATAGCTAATTTAGGCTGGACATTTTGCAAAAGCAATTATTTAGGCCTGACCAACTAATTTACATTTACATAAGGAGAACATTTGATCATTGCAGGCAAATAACACATTTTGTCAATTTAATAAAAAAAAAGGAGTACATTTTCAGAGTAAATATTACAATTTTTTTCAGATTTTGCTGTTTCAAATAATGTTTCCTATTTATTTTTCAAATTTTGTTAAATTTGCTTTATTTAAATTTTATATTTATTGTAACCGCTTTATGATTTTAATACTTTGGTTGTTAAGTTGTCCAGTTATTTCAGTTATTTTTAATAAAATTCTATCAATATTCTTATGGTACATGTATGCTTTAAGTGGTCTATGTTGCATTGTGTAGCTATAAGCAAGATGGTCCCAGAACAGCAGCAGACTGATGAAGTATTGGTCACACCTTAAACCTGATCCGGAGAGTGGATGTGAAGGACGGAGGAAGATTAAGAAAAAAAAAAAAGACAAGAATTAAAGCCTGAGTGAAAGAGAACAGCACATGAAAAGAAAAATGTGCAGAGAAATTATAACAGACATGCAAAAAGTCCAAGCAACCCGTCAATGCCAGTTCTATGTCAGCCCCAAATCAGCACCGGCCTTATATCAGCTCCTGGTTACACGTCCCTCCCAGGAATTAACCCAGTAAGGCTGCTGGCCCAGCCAACATCCCAGAGCGGGTAATAAGGGACTGCAGACCAGCTGAGGTCGCCTGTGGTGGCAAAGAACTGCACATTTTTAATATGTTGTGAAACTTTCTCTCTGCATTCAGCATACATACGTGGAATAGCGGTGTTTGAAAAATAGAGATTTAACATTTTATTAAATCCTACTCCTTCTACGGTTCGTAGAGGACATAAATCTTTCACCAAGTGAACGATGTTCCACCGTTTACTGCCTTTATCGTTGGGAGTAAGTTTTGTAAATGAATCTGTTAACGTTTGCTGCTTCGGGAGACGGACCGTCTGCGGGGGCTGCTTAACTGATTTTTAAACTAACGGTCGAACGTCAAATCCTAGATTATATTCTAGGTGTGAAGTTTTTTTTTGGTAGAAATACAGCAACACTGCAGTTCTGTGGATCCTGATAAAACTGTCTCTTAATAATGACGGATCTTCAGAGGTGTAGATCGTAACACAGTATTAAATCGTCATATCGCCCACCCCTACTGGCATCTGTCCCGATCTTATTAAAGTCCAACACTTTTCAGCCTGTCCCCATGCACCCCACATTGACAGACCTGAATGACTATCAACCTAAAGTCTTAACATCTGTGGTCACGAAGTTAAAGGATACTCATTACCTTACTTTAGGGACTCAACCTTCAACACCATCATCCCACAGACTTTGGCGCGGAAGCTCTCTTCTCTTGGACTAAATCCCGCGTTGGGAAACCAGGTCCTGTTTGGATCCAAAACAAAGTTTCCTTTTTAATCACACTCAGCATTGACTCACCCCAGGGCTGCATGCTGAGCCCCCTCATGTTTACTCAGCTGACATCTAACTGCATGGCTAGACACCCCAGCAATATCTCAGGATGCCACAGCAGTAGTGGGATGTATTGCAATGAAAAGTCAAGATACAGAAGGGTTGTTGAACACCAGGTGCAAAGACAATAACCTCTATTAATGTGAAGAAGACTAAGGGGATTATGTTTCTTTTACAGACAGAGTCCCCATACGGAGCTAGTTCACTGGTATCTTTTCTAATACAGAAAGTATTTATAGATCAGTGGTTCTATATTCGTTTTTTAAATCTGCCTCTGTCTCCTTGAACCCCGTTTGGCCTCGGCAGATGGGAGTTTTTCCTCTCCCCTGTCGCTACAAGCATGCTTGGTGTGAGGGATTGGTTTTGAGACAATGAGTCGGCGCAATCAGCTGGTTTTCCTTAGATAGGAAACTTTGAACTAATCTGACTGGATGATTTACTTGAATTGTCTTTGTTAAGTGAGATGAAGTGTTGTGAATAAACGTTCAGAGAAATATTTAAATGCTGCTGGACAGAGATCCTTTGGCTAAATATTGAAAAAATAATCTCTCTATATTGTTATCATACAGTGTGTTATGATACCCCACATCCCACCAGCTTAAAGGTATACTATGCAACCGGTGTTGATTTTCCAGCGAGGCTCCCCCCAGAGGGCGAAAGTAAAAGTGCACTGTCGTAAATATGCACAGCTGTTCTCCTGGTTTCTCCGTCAAGCCAGGCGCGGTTGTTTTGAGCTGAACAGACAGGCGAACGCAACGATAAGCATCTGACGCGCGTGACGCGCCGCAAACGCGCTGCTGCTCGAGATGGAAAATGTGAATTTTTGCTGCTCGACGCGCCGCGTCAACCAATCAGAGAAGCTGATCTGGGAGCTGGCAGGGAGAGAGACACAGCGCTGATGATCAGGGCGCTATCATCACTCCTCTTAAACAGTTTATTGATACCTAAATTAACTTAAAATGCAGAAATCTGCCTGCAGAATATGTTCGCTTTTATTATCCTGCTGCCTGCAGTTTGGATTATTTAGATGAAAAACACCTACCAGCTGCCGCGGTGGACCGCGAGGAGGCGACCCGGCCAGAGGCTGCTGATGAAGGGATTCCTACTGTCGGCGCACCGCTGGTATGTGGGGGTCTGAGCGGCTCCGACAGAAAAAATACTGGAAGGCAGGATTGTAATCTGGATGAACTGACTGCACTGATGAAGTTTTCAGGTGTATTTTCTCACTTAAAAACATTAAAACTACTTTATTCCCACTGATCACAGCAAATATAGCTGCAAGGCAGAGAAAGGATAGTGAAGCTCCGCCCAACGCGCGTCAGACACACTTTTGCACCGCGCAGCCAGAGCAGCAAAGCTGGTTCAGCCGCGCGTCAGAACTAACTGGTTCAAGCAGCAAAAATGAAGCAGCAGACGCGATTGTCTGCATCCGGTGTGAAAGCAGCACTGCACAAAGATGGCCACTGTACTAGCAACGAGAATGCTTTTAACTGGGGGGTGTAGCAGTTCTCGCCGTAAAGCAAGACCGACTCTCGCGAGACTTCTGAGCCTGTGGGTGCGGGTCGGTGCTCCTGCAATTGCAAGTGCAGTATTTCCCCCACAGACCACCAGGGCGGCCGAGAATACCTTTGTTCAACCTGAAATGACTCATTTCATCATCCAAAACATTATGGAACACATTAATTAACTGAAAAATGTTGCATAGTGTGCCTTTAACAACCTTAATGATTCAACAACTGAATCACTAAAGCTAAAGTGATAAAAACAAAAGTCGAAATTTAACATAGAACAGCATACTTTCTTAGATTCTCATCTTCTGCCCTGTTTTCTATTATTAATAGTTCAGTTATTAATGCTGTAATTCAGAGTAAAGCTGTTATTAATTTAATATCTACCAGATGTTGTTCTGAAAATAAAAGATTGAATTCATTGTTGGTACGTTAATGATCCATAGCTGTGATTTGGTTCCTTTTAAACTCTCCTTTTTAAACAGCCCAGAGCTGTTTGTTTGCAACCGGCACAGATAACATGAAAGAACAGACATACTGGCACCAATAGATGTGTTAGACGGTTCCAGTTTATTAAGCAAAACCTTTTTTTTTTTTTGTCAACATGTACAATTGGACTGGCTCCAGAAATGAGCGACAATGTGGTGATCTGAAGGAGCCTGTAATGTGTTTATTTTCTTCAGAGGCTTTGGCTTTAGATTAAAATGTTCCTCTGCTCTCTGTTCCCCATCATGACCCTGGAGATACTTGGAGAATAAACCTCCATCTCATTTCTACCAGGGACACATTAGAAACATGCAGGATGGGGAGGTTTGACCATGAAGGGATGAGGGCTGCTGCTAAGTGTGATGAAAAAAAAAAAGTCCATATGTGACTGAGTGAAATGATTCATATTCAGTTTCAATTCAATTGAGACTCCAGCTCAAAATACATATCATCTCATGGCATTTCATATTAATATTAATGCTGTTATGGAAAAGAGATTTTTGAAAGTTTTGAAAGCTTTTGAAATATATAAATATACAGAAGAGGATAAGGGCCACTGGGGGAAAAAAAAGGTAACTGATTTTTTAAAATATTATTTCAGTTTAATATATGAAAAAAAGTCAGAAATCCGACTTTAATCTCAGAATTCTGACTAAATTCTGACAGCTAACAAACATGTTAGCATCAGGCCCTAGCCTTGTCTATAGACTAAATTAGCTCTCTTGTTTTAATCACCTTCTGCTCTTCCAATATTGCAATCACCAGGGACCCCTCGGACACGTAAAAAGTCGCCTAATTTCGTCATTTTTCACCACTGTGTTGCTGGCCCTCCCAAACAACTCAGATCTTTGTCGGTGAAGCTGAGTGCTCCACATCTCTTCCTTCATGGCGCCCTTTAAGATTCAGATCCACATATCTGAGATGAAAGTCAAAATTCTGAGAAAAAAGTCAAAATTGTCAGAGTTCTGACTTTTTTTTCCCATATTAAACTGAAATAAAATTCAAAAATAAGTTGTTGTTTTTTTTCCGGTGGCCCTATTCCTCTTCTGTACAAATTGGCTTGAGGGAAGTCTTTGCATAATTAAATTCATAAGTGTAAAGATAATGGAAAATATCATATAGATTCATGTTTTTATTACCTGTGAAAAATGCTTTAAATTCATGTTATCAGAGCTGCAGCTTCCTAAAAATAGAAATTGTCTATTGGACAAATTAATGAGTTGCTCTTTAATAAGACTAGCAGCTGGATCCCAGGGACATGAGGAAGGGACAGAAATGGACCCTGGTGTTAATAATGAAGCCGCATTGAATCGTGACAGGAAAATAATATGTTGCGTGAACGGAGAGCAAAACAAGGCCACAGTATGTTTTGTTTTCAGTAGAACAGCAATCTTGTTTCTTTCTTATGTAATTAAAATGGAATTGGAGCTCACAGCAGATAAGTTCTCCTTGTTGATAGAAATGTTATTCATGCCTCAGTGCAAAAAGACTTTATTAAAGCTTTGACTCTAAGGAAATGTAACCTTTGCCATCAGTAATGAAAGCTCTAGATGTGTGCTGTTATTTTTACAATAAAGAACAACGGTTAAAATGTCTAAAAGAATCCATTATTTATAGAAGTTAGATTGGTTTTGAAGTCGATTGGTAAAAGGATCACTAACCTTACCATATATATGGAAATTAGGAAATTTGGAAAAGAAGGATGTGTGTGTCGTGAAAGACACTTTCTCTCAAACTCTTGTTGTCACTAAAATGTTTAACCAGCCCCAGCTATGAATTTACACCACAAACTAAAATTATTAAGCTAGCATTAGTTCAAAACCATCTAATTACCAGCTTACTAATAGAATAGAATAGAATAGAAAATCCCTTTATTGTCCCACAATGGGAAAATTCTGGTGTTTACAGCAGCAAAACAATTATAGAAAAAATAAATGGTCACAGAAATATGGACCTTTGAAAATCTATAAGAATAACATAATAGTGAAGAGTTAATAGATAAACAAATAAAATTCTGTACTGTAAAGTGTTTTAACAATATAAACTGTGAACCTTGAGAATAAATAAGCAAGTAGTGGATATTAGAAAATAGCAGCAACATCAGAGATGTGCAAAATGACAGCAGCATGTTATTTAACTGACTAAGATAGAAAATGTGCAAAATCAGCATGAATGTAACAACTTATTGAGGTTGTTGGGAACAAATGTGGTTATAAAGTATTACAGCTGCTGGGAGGAAGGATCTGTGATAACGCTCCCTGGTGCATTTAGGGTGCTGCAGTCTGTCACTGAAGGAGCTGTCCAGTTCAGCACCAGCTTCATGCATGGGGTGGGAGACATTATCCAACAGAGATGTTAACTTAGGTGGACACTTTTGTTTCCCACTTTCTGCACTGAGTCCTGAGGGCATCGGATCACAGAGCTGACCTTCCTGATCAGCTTATCCAGCTGCTTTCTCTCAGCTACAGATAAGACATAAAAGATGGCTGATGCCACAACAGAGTCATAGAAGGTCTTTAGGAGCGCTCCCTGCACTCCAGAAGACCTCAGTCTCCTCAGCAGAAAGAGTTTGCGCTGACCTTTCTTATACAGAGCCTCAGTGTTGTGTGTCCAGTCCAGTTTGTTATTCAGGTGAACAACTTGGTACTTATGATTCAATTCAATTCAGTTTATTTATATAGCGCCAAATTCACAACACAAGTCATCTCAAGGCACTTTACAGTTCAACCAGATCACCCAGTCAAATTGATTCAAAGTTTTCTATCTAAGGAAAACCAGTTGATTCCATTGATTCATTGACTCAAATACAATCCCTCTCACTAAGCATGCTTGTAGTGACAGTGGAGAGGAAAAACTCCCTTTTAACAGGAAGAAACCTCCAGCAGAACCAGGCTCAGTGTGAGCGGCCATCTGCTGAGGCCAACTGGGGTTCAAGGAGACAGAAGCAGCATATAAAAAGCAGCTGTAAAAGGTGGCCCTGTCCAGGAAACACACAGCCAGGCAGACGAGCTCCGAGCCAGCTCCCATGTCAGAGGACGAAGAGAGCACATCCACTCAGTCACGGTCAGAGAAACAGGACCACACTGGAAAACAGGCCGATCTCCAGCATCTATAAACAAGGGTGTTGATGGCAGCAGCCCAGCTGATATTTCTCTCCAGTATGGCGTCACAGCCAAACAGGAACAGACGAGGCAAAGCTACTCTGAGAAAAAGCAGAACGTTAGAGACTGACTTATAAGAACCCATTATCTCAATATCCGTTCCCTGGATGTTCACCGCTTTCAATGGGGTGGATCTGCTTCTGCGGAACTCCACCACTAGCTCCTTGGTTTTCCCTGCATTAATCAGAAGGTGGTGAATCTCCCCCACCTATGATGAATAATAGATGAAATAGAAGCTGGTCTTTATTGAGTAATTTATTATCAAGTCTGAAATCTGACAAAAGTGCAAGAGACATAATAAGTACTCATACAATCAGTTTTATTTAAAATAGACACACTGCACAAGCTACTCTCAACACCGTTTTTTTAGTGTCCTATGCATACAGATTCAGAAATGAATAGAAATGTAAATGTCTGGCTGTATCCGAACGTCCGCCTTAACCACTAATTCTCAACCTCTATGTAGAACAGAGACTATATAGGGAAGTTTATAGTGCACTCAGCGGCCGTTCTGACAGATTATCATTAATTTTTGCTCCCCGTTGATCATGTGACTCGGGCTCCTATCATGGTGCATCTTTGTTCTCTCTCACCCCCCAAAATAAATCCCATGATGCTTTGCGAGGAGAGCTCTTGCAAACTGCTTGCAAACTATTTTAATCCTACTGCCTTTTTATCCATTAGATGTTCGCACACATATAAAATGGCGTAACGGCTATATAGTGCGCTATACTGGCAGCCTAGTGGTTAGGGCATAGAGCTTGGAATCCTGAGATTCTGGGTTCAAGGCCCACTCCCACAGACTGCCACTGTGGGTCCCTGAGCAAAGACCCTATATGTTTTGTCAAAAATAATGCCCAGGTTTCGAAGTCTTGGTTTAGCAGACAAACTGAAGTCGGCCGGATACTGGTGGATACCTGGAATAGCCTCATCAGGGGCAATCATCAGCACCTCTGTTTTATCCGAGTTTAGTTGCAGGGATTTTGCACTGAGCCGTTGTTTAATATGCGCAAGACAATTCAGCAAAGACTTAAAAGAGCAGTTATGACCCAGTTGCTACTTTAATTCTGCTACAACACTTAAAAGCATCAGTGTTCATCCTCACTTTGCTTGTTTTTTTTTTTTCTTGCATTGAATCTGAGAAACGTAACACAAAGAAGAAGCCATTTCTTTACTCTATCATAGGATCTGACAAAGCCTGAGCTCTGTTTCCTATTAGTGCACAATCATTTGGGGTCAACGTTGGCATGGTAACCAGAAGTGAATACTTATTTTATTTTATACTCATACTTTTCTTTTTACTTATGTTTTATTTATATACTATGTTTGTTTTTTTGTTGTTGTTTTTGTCTGTAAATGTAGAACTTATATTCTTATATTAATAATATTCTGCTCCATATTTTCTTCTGATGTTTTGTGATAAAATTTTGTTGAAATAGTGTTAGCTTACGTCGAGGAATCCTATTAATTAGATGACCAAATAACCCCAACAGACTCCTGTCGGAGTGAGTCAGCCAATTCTCTCTGGACTCCCTGCTGGCTGTTTAGACGTCCTCCGCCCCCTTATCTCCAACTCTGAGCCCTGCAGACCAGCAGAGCAAAACTAATCTCATGTCCATCTATCTGCATCTTTATAGGGGAGAATAGCTCTTTATTCTACTGGGATGAAATATAAAGAGTTTGAATTAGTAACTGAAAGTATTTGAAAACATTTCCAGGAAACCTGACGTCATTTATTCCCCATCACAAAAAGCAATAAATTAACTGCATGAACTCATCAGCATCTGGTGAATATTCTAATGGGTTTTCTATCAACAACAACAGTCTTCCCTCACAACACAGGCTTAAGAAAGCTGTATTTTCTTAATTGAAACTGTCACTCAGTGAATTTTAACAAAGAATAAAACGTATAATATTGGGATATAAGGCTGAAATAGTGTTTTGCTTCCTAAAGATTACATTTAAAAGCAAAGTTCTTGTGTATGCAATTAACTTTGTTGTTGTGAGCAAAGAACACATATTGTAAAAAGAAAATACATATGTATATGTATATTTTCAATTCAGTTTATGTAATATATTTATTATATATTTTATATATATATTAAATAAGATAAATAAAGATCTGCTTAAAATGGTCATTATTGTTATTTAGATCATTACGTTTGATCAAATCTTCCTTCTTCTTTTTCCCAGTTTGATGTCCGGCCTGGCCGCTCTCGATGCCAAGTGTTCCAGTCGGCTCGGCTTGATCACGGTCTCATATTATTTGTGGACCACGTTTGTGGCTGTGATCGTGGGGATCATGATGGTGTCCATTATCCACCCAGGCGGTGCTGCCCAGAAAGAGGACTCTGAGGACAGCAGCAAGCATATCATGAGTTCTGCTGACGCTCTGCTGGATCTAATCCGGTAAGATCCTGACTGTCTTGGCTTCATACCGACGTCAATGCTCGAATAAGAGCAGAGATGTGTGTTCCTTCCTGGTATGCAGGAAACCTCTGCAAAAGTTTGAGTGTGACTAAATCAGACATAAGAGCTGGTTTTGTTCCGCTATCCTGACCCGGTGAAAAGCCCTCCTGTTGGTTGTGTGATTAATTCACATCAGGAGGGATAAAAAGCAGAGAACAAGCTGTGCTTGGCAGGGCAGCAGAAAATTAGGATTCTCAGACAAAAAAACATCTGCTAACTGCTGCATGTGAACCACTTTGGTGTGTTTTAAAGTACTACGTCTCACCCTTATGTCAGGCAGACAGGTAATTTAAGGACTGAGCACTATCATATGCACTGGTTTGTACGATCACTAGTGCACAGATAAGCATTTACGGTGACAGGAAAGTGGTTTTCCTTTTAGAAAGTTGTCCGTTTGGTTCAAATTGCCTCCACTGTCCCGTCAGAATGCTCCTCTGGGCAGGGCGCACCTTACCAAGCTGCCAACCATTCTGCCCTTAGAACCCTAGTGATAGAGTAGAGGGAACATCTGCTCCACATTTATTTTATTCCAAAGAAACCGGATCTCTCTACATTCTGACAGAATTCAGGAAGGCTGTTTAATTGCTGCACAGTGTTTAGCTCTGCTGCTTCTCAGCAGAAGGACCTTGGGTTTGGATAGGAGCCTGTGCTCTCCTTTAGTGGAGAGGCCTTTTCTTTCTGTGGATGTAGCGTTCTCTCCTGGTGCTCTGACCTCCTCTCATTGTCCAACAGAGTGACACCTATGCCCCTCTCCATTAGTACCAATTGATTGATATTGAAATATTGCATATTTTTCAATACCTCCATTCACAAAACTTTTTATTTCTAAATTTCCATTTACCAAGCACTTTTCTTCCCTCTGTATAACGATGAGAGGCTTTAGATACCAGCAAAGGCTTTAGCTAGCAGCTAGGTCGTGGCATAACACAAACCTGGCTGAATGGTCAGTTATTAATAGCTCCTCCTCAGCTTTCTCCTCCTGCTTATTAATCCATCAAGGGAGAACAGAGCCCTCTCCTTTTCTGCTCCTGTTTTACCACATTTCTGCTCAGACTGGTCGTCTGGAGGAGGAGTGATTAAAAAATATGTTCATTTTGTCCTACAATTACACATATCTTATCATTTAATTCCTTAGTTAACAAACTGTTTTAGAATCTGGATTCATATTCATATAACATATGGCTATACAGGTGCTGGTCATAAAATTAGAATATCATGAAAAAGTAGATTGATTTCAGTAATTCCATTTAAAAAGTGAAACTTGTATATTATATTCATACATTACATACAAACTCATATATTTCAGATGTTTATTTTGTTTAATTTTGATGATTACAAATGACAACAAATGAAAATCTCAAATTCATCATATCAGAAAATTAGAATATTACTGAAGACCAATAAAAACAAAGGATTTATAGAAATGTTGGCCAACTGAAAAGTATGAACATGAAAAGTATGAGCATGTACAGCACTCAGTATTTAGTTGGGCCTCCTTTGGCCTGTATTACTGCAGCAATGCGGCGTGGCATGGAGTCGACCAGTCTGTGGCACTGCTCAGGTGTTATGATAGCCCAGGTTGCTCTAATAGTGGCTTTTAGCTCTTCTGAATTGTTGGGTCTGGTGTATTGCATCTTCTTCTTCACAATACCCCATAGATTTTCTATGGGGTTAAGGTCAGGAGAGTTTGCTGGCCAATTAAGAACAGGGATACCATGGTCCTTCAACCAGGTACTGGTAGCTTTGGCACTGTGTGCAGGTGCCAAGTCCTGTTGGAAAATGAAATCTGCATCTCCAAAAAGTTGGTCAGCTGCAGGAAGCATGAAGTGCTCTAAAACTTCCTGGTATGTGGCTGCGTTGACCCTGGACCTCAGAAAACACAATGGACCAACACCAGCAGATGACATGGCACCCCAAACCATCACTGACTGTGGAAACTTTACACTGGACTTCAAGCAACGTGGATGAAGTGCCTCTCTTCTTTTCCTCCAGACTCTGGGACCTTGATTTCCAAAGGAAATGCAAAATTTACTTTCATCAGAGAACATGACTTTGGACCACTCACCAGCAGTCCAGTCCTGTTTCTCTTTAGCCCAGGCAAGACGCTTCTGACGCTGTCTGTGGTTCAAGAGTGGCTTGACACAAGGAATGCGACAGCAGAAACCCATGTCTTTCATACGTCTGTGTGTGGTGGTTCTTGAAGCACTCACTCCAGCTGCAGTCCACTCTTTGTGAATCTCCCCCACATTTTTGAATGGGTTTTGTTTCACAATCCTCTCCAGGGTGCGGTTATCTCTCTTGCTTGTACACTTTTTTCGACCACATCTTTTCCTTCCCTTCGCCTCTCTATTAATGTGCTTGGACACTGAGCTCTGTGAACAGCCAGCCTCTTTAGCGATGACCTTTTGTGTCTTGCCCTCCTTGTGCAAGGTGTCGATGGTCGTCTTTTGGACAACTGTCAAGTCAGCAGTCTTCCCCATGATTGTGTAGCCTATAGAACTAGACTGAAAGACCATTTAAAGGCTTCTGCAGGTGGTTTGAGTTAATTAGCTGATTAGAGTGTGGCACCAGGGGCCATCAATTTTGAACCTTTTCACAATATTCTAATTTTCTGATATGATGAATTTGAGATTTTCATTTGTTGTCATTTGTAATCATCAAAATTAAACAAAATAAACATCTGAAATATATGAGTTTGTATGTAATGTATGAATATAATATACAAGTTTCACTTTTTAAATGGAATTACTGAAATCAATCTACTTTTTCATGATATTCTAATTTTATGACCAGCACCTGTATACTATATGTTGTATATAGTATATTGTATGTTTTATATTGTATATAGCTATAGATTCTGTATTCTATACACCATCAACACCAAGTCAAATTCCTTGTAAGTTCAAACCTGGTTGGCAATTAATCTGATTCTAAGTCTGATTCATATTCTGGGCTGATCAGGCTGCTTCTCTATCTCACTAAATAACATATTGGTATCAGGTTATTTCAGAAGTGTTGTCCTGTCTTTTTTTCCAATGAAATATAATTTAAATAACAATATTTATATATGTTTTCATGAGGTGAGAGGGACACCTTTGGAGCAAGTTGACAAAGGAGCCAGAGCTCATGGTTGCTAAGAGGTGCAAACAGGGGGCCGATGCATGAATTCACAGCAAAATAAAAAATAAGACTAATACACAAACATAGACGAAGGAGAAATACTGCAATAACATTAAACAGTAAGCAGCAATATAGAAAGGCACAAAACCTCCTGCAAATACATAAATGATGCTGACAAACAAACCTCCATGTACCAGCTACTGACCACTAGAGGGATACAAACAGTGGCCAGGACTGCTTCTGTTATGAGGCGCTAGTTTGCAGCTTTTCCTGAATTGCATGTTTTTTCCCCTGTAAATGTTTTTTTGTATCTTGGCATCATTTATGTGTTTGCAGCAGGTTTACTCTTTGTACTTTGCTTTTCTTGTGATGGTGTGTTTGTGTACTAATCTCATTTTTGGACGTTTTAACTTGCTTTGATTTAATGCATTTGCATGGTGTTTGCACTCCTTGAACACAGTAGGTGATCCAGCCTCCTTAACTTGAATCCAGGCCTCTCTCTCTTTCTGAAGCTGTCTGTGCTGCAGCCCAGCAGCAGGGTTCTCTTGCCCACATGTGCAGCTGATACACTGACTTTTCTCCTCAGATAGCCTAAGCTCACTTCCTGCCTAATCTTTTTGCTCCTTCCTCATGTTCTCCAATATTGGGCATCCTGTGGCCTCATCCTCTGCGTTTGTTCCCGAGTTCTACTATTTTCTCCTCTTCCTGTTTGCTAGTTTAAACCACCTAATAAGGCTGTCTGTGGGTTCTTCCTTCTTCCTCTGCAGTTTTTCCTCCTGTACCAGCATACAGTCCTCCTTCATTGCCTCCATCAGTCTCCACTGTTTCTCATTCTTCCCTAAATGGGACTTTTGGGTTTCTGGATGGATCAAATGCAACCAGACAACCTGTGTCTCTGTGGTTACATACAGAAAAATAATAAAATAAAATAAACGCAATCTTAAGCCACACACAACTTGAAAGCAGTGAAAATATTGACTGAAATAAATTTATCTGAGGAGTGTGACGTCCTATTGATCCGGATGTCTGTCTGTTTATATGTCGATCGATGAGCCAATCAAACAGAGGCTCTGAAGCCTTGAGATTATTTTATATATTTTAAGGTTTAATCTTCTAACCATCTTGGTTCTGTTGTTTTTCTCTAAATTTTCAGGTTCATCCAGGTTTTTCCTTGTTTTCTAGCTTTATTGGTGTGTCTGGATTCATTTAAGTTTCTTAGGTTTTTCTTTGTCCTCTGTTACCCCCTTGTGTTTTCTTTTCCTATGGCTTCTTCATCAGCTCTAGTAGCACCTGCTCCTTATTTTTTATTTATTTTTTTGTTTTTATACTCTAATAATCCCTGAGGGAAATTACTTCTTGATTTAACCCATCCCCTTGGGGAGCAGTGGGCTGCCATTGTGAGGTGCCTGGGGAGCAGTGTGAGGTTTAGGGTCTTGCTCAGGGAGCCAGAGTGGCACTCTGTGGGAGTGGGGGATCAAACTCACAATCTCAGGATTCAAGGGCCTATGCCCTAACCACTAGGCCACCAAGGGGGAGGCCACCACTCCCCCCTATCAGCTCGTTAGTCCTGCCTTTGTTCAGTCAGCTATAAATACACTCCCTCTGCAGTCCCTCTTTGCTTGTTCCTCGTCTTACTTCATCCTACCCTGGCTCCTCATGATTGTTTTCCCCTGATGTCTCCATAGTTTTGGTTTGTGTTTAATTCTTATGTTGTTGTTTTTCTTGGATTCCTGTTTTTAAGTTGGATTTTTTTGGATTACTGTTTGGCTGCCAGTCATCCTTAATTAAACCTTCAAAGATCTCACCCCTGGCTCTCAGCT